GTTGTTTTGCAAAGAAATGTGAAAAATAAACACAAAGACAATCTTCAGTTTTTTGTTTTGTGTGAAGCTCTCCATAATTGTTAAAATAAAGAAAATAATAATAACTTTAATTTTTTCCACAGTATGAAAAAAATGTTTTGTTTTTTTAATCAAACAGAGTTTTTATGTTTATTTTCATATGTGTTAAAATCAACAAACAGCAATAACAAACGCTGAATGCTCCCCATGGCTCTTAACAACCGCAGTCAATTTCCCCTCCATAAACAATAGGCATCCCTTATCTTTCCCGTCGTTTATTGCCCTCAGGAGCAGGCTTTACTGAAACTGGAAAAAATAAATCAAACTTAAAACACTTTACATTTTCTCTTAGTTAATCGCGACTCTTTTCTTCCAGTTTCCTGAAGCTCTATGAAAGCAGGTTCGTTTTGGTCAGCGTCCGTTCCCACCTTAAATTCATTTTTAAAAAACATAAATTCTGCTTTACCTCATACTGAAGATACTGTTTCCTCCACTCTGGAGTGATATGGGACGAAAGATGCTCCGCGAATTTCATTTTGCCGGAACAAGAGTCCTCCTCAAAGCGCTGTTAAATCCGAGCGCGGCTGTCCCCTTCCCCGTCGACGCGACTTTTATTTTATCAGTCAACTTGCTGGCTCAACATGCGGCGCGTCAGCGCGGCACACTGCGCTCCTGCTCACTCCACTTCTGGCTCGTCCCGGTCTGCGCACTCCCTGCAGATCCCGTCCCGCATACTATTTCATGGGAGAGACAACGAGAACAACAACAGTGGCCTCCCTTTAACAGGTGGTCGGGCGACAGGTTACTGGAGCCGGTGAAAGTGGCTCAGTGACTTTGCTCGGTCCCTCCCTGGGCAAGTCTGGGGACACTGCGGTCCGCCATCGCTATGAACCGCTGTGACGTGGTTGCGTCAGCAGAGCGCGCAGTGTAACTCGGACACTGTTGGGACCTCGTGAAAACTGTTAGTGGTGCACCGTGGGACCCCTCACAGTCTTCGCTTCACTTTATTTCCTTTGGGGTTTTGTACAGTAGTTAGAGAGGCAACTGTCTGCTGTGTGTTTCTACAAAAAGAAGAAGGAATAAAGTTTTTTACTTTTTTAAAGATATATAAATATATATTTAAACTGACCAACCAACAGTAATAACTCATTTAAAACTTATACAGTTTTTCTTTAACTAAAACGTGTCTGTGAGGTTTATCTCTCTGCAGATAATATGGCAGAAAGTCACGTAGACAACAAATTATACGCACTTTGATGCTTAATGTAAGCTGCTTGTAGCTTTCGGTCTAAAAACAGGTTCACAAGAACACGAAAACAGGCTACCACTAGCTTTGTAAAAATATCCTCATTAATACTGTTAATATACTGGGAAGTTCCCCGTGTTTACCGCATATGAAGTAGAACAGAAACAGAAAGATACGAACCAGAAATAATTCGGAAGTTGAGCTTTTTCTCAAAGAGGAAAAAAACGTTTAATTTAATAGAAACGTTATTGACTTAAGCTTAGGCTACTCGATTACTGAATCCATTTTCGTCCTGGTGAACGTGATGAGCGACATCATGTACTTGGGATAAAAAGTGCCAAACGCAAAAATAAAACATCTTTGTGTTAATAGCACCATCTGCTGGACACGATATGTTAATACATTGTTTTCACAAAGCTGAATGTTGTGGCAGGTGTCGCAAACATTCAGGTTGATTAATATGTGCTGCAGTAGAGTCCAAGTAGAATTAAAACATTTATAAAAAATGTGGTGGACAGAAAATCGTCGTTAAAAAGTTTTAAATTGAGGCCTTTAAAGGGTTTTTCTGCCCGAACGAATGTGAATGGAGTTTGTTTTAGAACTTAGATTTGATGCTATTTATTTATCCATAACTATTGTTGCAATTCATTACTGCTCTTTTTTAAACTTGGTCTTTTTAAACTGTATTGCTTATTGCACTGTAGAGGCTGGTGAGAAACCGTATTTCGTTTCAGGCTGAGTAACACCAGAGCAAATGTCAATAAACTTCTTGAGTCTTAAAATTAAGCTATTACCTTCTTGTCTGTAGTTATCCTCATTTTAGGATAATGAGAGTCCCTTATAAAACAGAACCCATCGCATGCACACATATCACACTAAAATGTTCTACCAGGAAATGTCTGTGATGGAGTATACAGTGAATGGACGGGCTGTCCAATCCTTGTATTTTTCTTCCAAGTTTCCAGACCCTCATTTTTAGCCACTTTGTTACTAACAGTCTGCCACAAAAACGCAATTTGTTCTATTTGTTTTAGGGGAACTTGTGAAAAATGTCTAAGCTCACACAGTTTGATGGATATCTGGACTCAGACTGGACTAGGTACCAACAAGGTGATTCCTAAAAACGTTGCATATCTCAGCATGGTGAGCAGCATGCTTTTTGTTTTGTTTTTTAAGGAGGAAGAAAAAACGGAGGAAACTGGACAAATATTGGACAATAAGTGGCAAGAAGGGGAAAAAGTCCAGGAAAGACCTGACACGGTACCTGATAGAAACATTTGGCCCTGCAGCTGAAGGACCATTAGAAATGATCTGTGTAATAGCGGCTGCCAAAAAGACAACGAGGAAAGGCTGAGGTGTGTCTTATTATTACTTAAGAACTAGGAAATAAACTCGACTAGACATCTTGTCAAATGAAACTGCGAAAACAAAAAGTACCATCCCATTTTGATCCACCTTGCCATACCACCTGGAAAGCATCTGAGCAACTGGCTTCATTTGTTAGCATGACAATGACCCCAACCTCACTGCTAATGCAGCAAAAGCATATCTGGACAGAAAAACATGGACTGGCCTTCAACATTATTGAAGCAGCGTGACAGAGAAGAGAACAACAGGCAGCCAACATCCAAAGAAGAGCTTTGAATGTCCTTCAAGAAGCCCTGAGAACTATTGCTGAAGACTCCTTACACAGCAAATCCAGCATGTCCAAATTAACACTGTCGGATTTGATTTCAACACTATTAAAGTGTCTATATGGGTCCACACCAGAGAGTGTTAATTTAACTCTTTTTGGAGAGTTGGTACGTTAACTCTGATTTAGTGTTAAACACCAAATCTGTCTGGAGTTGATAATTTAACACTTGGTGTTAAGAGTTTATATATTAACTCTCAAAGAGTATTTTAGTTTAACCACGTAAGAGTTATCTTCTAATTCACTCTAAAAAGCGGGAATTTTACTGTTCTGAACTTCTAGAAATTTCTTTTGGAAATAAACATTTACTAAAAAGACGCAATGGTTTTTGAAAAACATTTATTCTGAACTGTGCACCACAATTTCAAAACATTTTCTGAAAGACGTAACAGTATACATGTTCTCACTTTCATTAGAATTTTGTTTATCAAAAGGTCTGACATGGTAAATGCAAATAACAGCATCTCATCACTTATTTCTTCAATACAATATGCATGTCCTTCATTCATCCCTTTGTGGAACTTCAACGCACTTCTGCTCTCCCCCATATTCCATCTTCACAAGCATATCCTGTGCGGAGATTGAATAAAAATTAGTTGACACTAATTAATGGCACAAATAATCCAGTAAACAATTGCAGCACAGTAAAAAAAAAAAAAGGAATCCTCTTTGAGCCATTACTTGTGTAAAGTATTTTCCCAAAAGACAAGGACACAGGCAACAGGTAATACTGAACTAAATGTAAAACCTCAACCTTTTTCATTTTTACCTAAACTGTGTGCACAAAACTCTGGAGGGATCTATGCTAACGTAGAATCCAGTCAGGACGTCAGCTACTGCTGTTTGCTCGTTTTTTTTTTTATGGGCGATCGTTTTCAGGCTTCAAGTAGCACCATTATACCAACATTTCACATTCTAGACATTGTTTTAGGTGTATTTGACCAAAAGTTTGACTGAAAATTCACATGCAAGCTTTTTTCAAGGCTGTGGTATTTGCCCGCAAACAATACCTTTCAGCTAGCTAAAACAGAATATTATGCTATCAGCGAGCAACATGGCTAATGCCTTTCACACAGCTTTGTCTCAACTCCAAAGAGCCACAGAAGTAAAAGCTCATAATAATAATTGAAACAATCTTTGAAAACATGACTTACCAAGCATGGCAAACAACTCAAATATGTAGAGCAAAATGTTCTGAAACGGCTTCACTTCAGCTTCGATTGGAGCCGTGCTGGGGGCGGAGTCTGTGAATTTACTCTGTTGGTGTCATAGCCCCTGTAGGAGTTCAGAGTTAAGAGGTCAGGAGTTAATGTTTCCATTGTAACACCTCCAGATTTGACAGAGAAACACTCATTTTTAACACTCGATTTTAACTACTATCATTTTACACCTCAGAGTTACATTAAAAGAATGTGACTCTGCTTAGAGTAAAATTAACTCTACTTTTGCAAGAAGACTATTAACACCAAAACATTTAACACTTTTGAATTTGCTGTGTACAGACAGGACGAGAAAGCTTACTACAGAGATTTCGGGCTATGAGGAATAACTGTGTTCAAAACAAATATTGACTTTCAAAGTCATTAGAATGGAACAGACTTTGTTTTTGCCTTATAGGCTTTATTTTGATTTATCTTTGCAGATTTGTTTAATCAGTTGTTGTGCCCATTTCCAATTTTCCAGCAGAATATAAAGAAATGGCTGTACTTTACGTAGTTTTTTATTTTTATTTGAGGAGATTTCAAGAAACATTTTTCCACCCAAAGTATCAACAAACCCACTGCAAGCTACTTTAGCGCTTAAGTTAGCCAGCTAATATATATTATTCGGTGTCCGCTGACCTACGATAACGTGACATGTACACAGCAACCAGAAAAAAACTCAAACATTTTATTTTCATTTAGACAATATTTAGTTTTTGTTTAATCATTCATAACAAATATACAGAAAAGCGCGTGTTCGCGTCTTTACTCGCACCAGAGTCGGAACCTTTCTTACTAACAGCGATTTTTTACCGGCGCTTTTAAATTGACAGTACCAGCCACGGACCAACGGCAGAAAGAGATCCGACTGTTGCGGATTTGCTACGATAACGGATTAAAATCCAAGTCTTTGCTGAAACACTTTGCAGACATAATATAAATAACAGGCAGCTGCTCTCCGTACGCTTCTCCGCGTTTCTCACGGAGATCCGCGGCTCCCGTCGTTTGAGACGCTATAAACAATAATAACAATGGCTTCTGGTTCGCCGTCGTCCTCTCCGGACACCGCGACGGGCTCAGGTACGGATCCAGCCCGGCCCGACACAGGAGAGCCCCTCGGTGGAGCAGGCTCGGACTCGGATTCGGACTTGGGTTTGAGTAAATTTGACTGCAGCGCCATGGAGGTGGGGGACCGGCTGGAGGGAGAAGAGCTGGAGCGCGAGTTCGAGTCTGCCGCCGACCGCGTAAAAGACTTGATACAGACGGCCAGCAGGGACCAGCTGCTGTACCTGTACGCTCGCTATAAACAGGTGATTGTACGATTAATGTCACTGTGCGTGTGTCGGCCACACTCGAGCCTTCAAGTAGTTGCACCACGCTGCTTTAGACGGGACACCCCCCACACGCCATGAATCTCAGCATTTACGTGACTCCTCTGGTATTTAATCGAGTCAGGCTCACAACTGCAGGCGACATTAAATCAGATATGTAATGTGATTTTGTATCTATAGGTCAAAGTGGGGAAGTGCAATACACCAAAACCTGGTTTCTTTGACTTTGAAGGACAAAGAAAATGGTAAGTAGCCCAGATTTCACTTTGCACATATTTTAAAGCCTCATAGGTCAAGTAAGTCAATTCAATTCACTTTTACTTAAATGGCACCAGTCGCCTCATTGTAAGGCAAAGAACCTTCAATAATAAAAAGAAAAGTCCAACAATCAGACGACCCCCTACGAACGAGCACTTGGCAACACTGGAAAGGAAAAAGTCCCTGTTAAACAGGAACCTCTGGCAGAACCAGGCTCAGGGATCCACGTTCAGATGCTTGATGAAGAAAAATGTTTCTGCTACTTAAAATAAACCACTATTCACAAACAGCCCATCCGCTTGCAAAGTATTAAAATGATTCCCCCAAAGTCAGTGAATCTAATATTTCTATTTTCATGTTTTAGTTCACGGCGTGTGAAAAGCTTTAACAGTGATTACTTTGGTAATTGTGATATCATAACAGGCAAGCCTGGAAGCAGCTTGGAGACATGGATCAGGAACAAGCAATGCAAGAGTATATTTCCTGTGTCAACATCTTAGACCCTGAAGGCAGCACGAAGGTAATTCCTGAGAATTTATTTTTAATCCACATTTTGCTTCTAAACCGATGCAGAGGTGGGTTAATGTTGTGACTGTTGTGGAGGGTCACACCAGTAAGTTTATAAAGAGATCAAATGAACATTTTTATTACAATGGATCTTATGATAACATAGATTATAAAACATTAATTATACATTTATAACAGTTCGTTTGCTTTCAGCTCAGCCTTTACTGCAACAGTTTTCTTTGTAGTAATAATTTGATTTTATGGAAGATGGTCCTTTAGTAGAGAATGTTGAATGTCAGTGTTGCCATTCATCATGCTCCTTATGACTTTTATGGTCTTGTTTTTGAATATATGTAGAAAGAGTTTCTGGTTCTCGTCACTTTACACATTTTCTGGTTATAGACTAATGTCTGTAATTTCTCAGTCATCCAGGTCACGGTAGTCTGAAGTGTTTGAAAAGAAGGCAACTGAACTCTTTGCTTCTTGAAGATGTTTCCCCTCCCATCCAAGAGGCTTCTTCTGTTCTAAAACAAGAGATTTGAGAGTTTCAGGTGTCTGACCTCTAGACGAGGCTGCACTCTTGGAGGTAGTGATCCCGTGAGCCCAGGTGTGGAAAAAAAAGGCGTGGGTCATTGTCACCAGGGGTCAGTCACAGTGGACATAGATGGGCTCCTTTCTCAAATAATCTGTGAAAAATCTGAACATTGGCATCATTGAAGAGCGTCCTTTCCCCTTCAAGAGAAGGTGGACAGCTGCGTCTTGTCCTTATGAGGCGGCTTTCTTGTTGTGCCATGCGTCTGTGGAGTGTTGTTTCTCTTATGGTCCGAGCACTCCTCACATGGTACACTACGCTGTTTAGCTTGTGTTCGGGGGTGAACCAGGTTTGTCTGAGGGTGTTGCTGGATCAGAAGTGCACTGTGATGTTTATGCATAGAGAAAATTCCGAGTTACCACATAAGGAACGACAGTGTCATTCTGTTTCTTCCTGGTTCTTGTCAATTTCTGACCTTATACACCTGATAACAAATTCTGGAAATGTACATGAACTAAAACAGACCTTTAAAGGTAAGATGTCTGAAATTAGGCCAAAAAGGATGACAGATATAGAACAGAACCATCTGTGAAGTACCCAGTGTTCACCAGGAGGTGTCACTGTCACATTGTCATTTTGTTGAAACCGTGTTGCTGCTCATTTTCTGCACATTTAGAAAGAAAAATGAAAATTTTGCGCAGGTTTCCTCAGTGGCTGATATTTTGGAATAGTAATTATTTAAATGTTCATATTAAGGCTGTTGGGATGTGCTAATTTGTATAGTGACTGTTTACATCTCTACACACTCTTTTCTTAGCTGTGCCATAAACAGGTTGCTCTTTGGGACAACATTAGGTTTCAACACCAACCTTGGATGGTTTGCAGTAATGGAGTATAATCGTCATACTGATAAAACACTTATTTTTATACTTTGTTTTATAGATCATCTAAAAGTTGGAATGATAAAGTTTGTAGCAGCAGTGAGTGAGCACCAGTGTCACAGTTTAGTCACAAAGGGAAGTGTTTACACTCTCTGATAATCTATTAAAGTCACTGTTAGATATTGATATCTACAGATATATTACATATCTTCTTTTAACAACAGTGTGTAAACATCTGCAAACTGAGGAGACCGGCTGCTGGACTTTAGGGAGAGGACGTTGTCCCATTCTTTCGTTCTGTTTGTTTGTTCGTTTGCTTTTTGGCTTCTTTTTTTTTTTTAAACAGTTCAGCAGTGAAGAGTGGACTAGAAAAAGGGGGAGAGCGAGCAGGGGAAGACTCTCAGCAAAGGGTCCCAGGTTGTGGTTGAAAGGCGTCTGCTCAGCTGGTGCACTTTGTCTCACTCGTGTCTGATATAAGATTCTAGCTGCTCAGCGGTCCTGGGTCTTTGTCATATTCTTCATCTCATGAAGCTCCAAATGTTTTCAGTTTGGGAAACATCTTGACTATAGGCAGGCCTCTTCAGCACCTGGACTCTTCTTAGATCAGCATCATCTTCCAGAAATACGCACGGCCGTCCCTGAAAGAAGCTCATCTGGATGGGAGCTTCTAGATGAGCTTCTTTCAGCCTTTCCAGATGTTCAAAGCACTCATCAGTACTGAAATTCTGAAACGATCATGTTCCAGAGGCACAAATGCCCCCGTTACAATCACAGATGCAGGATTTTGGTCCTGCTCCTCTTTAGTCCAGAGGACAGCGTGTTCATGTTTTCCATAAAGTTTTGATCAATCTCACCACAAAACAGTTTTACACTTTGTTTCAGACAATTTTAAATGACCTTTGGCCCGGAGAAGACGGCTGGATCATGTTCACATGTTCTTCGTATGATAGAGCTCTGACCTGCGTTTGTGGATGACATGGTGAACATTTTAGTTCTTTTTTTTTTTTTTTTTTTTTTCCTTTTTTTTTTTTCTTAAATGACATCAGAAACAGCAGTATGCGACATTACGTGATGGCAGAGCTTCAGTTCATCCTTTGTCATTTTTTTTTTTTTTTTTTTTTTTAATAAATAGGACAGGGGGAGTGAATGAGAGAGAGAAGGGGAGAGAAAGAAAGAAAACCAAAGGGGAGAAGAGACGGTGAGAAGGGGGGGGAAGAGAGAGAAAAAAAAAAAAAAAAACTCCTGGGTCACCTGTATGGAGAAAAAAAACAAACAAACAAACAAACAAACAAAAACAAACAGAGGAGACAGCAAACAACAAAGAGCAACATAATAATAGAGAAAACAAAGCACCATACCATCACAATAAACTAGCTAGTCATAGATATCAGTATTTACTAAGTAATAAACGATATTGTGCAGCACGCAAGATAGACAGCGCACAGTGTGCTTTGAGGCAGCAGCCAAGAAAGCTTTAGTCCGCGTCTGTGAATACCCATGTGTGCATACCTGTGTGGATCAGCATGCTTGCATTCCAAAGGTTTCTCCATGTAATGATCTGCTAGGGAGTGTGGGGGGGCCACAGCCCCGTCCTCCAGGGTGTGAAGCGGGTATGGAGGAGATCAAAACTCCAGACATCCAGAGGCCCCCAGAACACAAGAGACCATGGAAGACCAACATTTTAGTTCTGTAACTGTTCATGAGCCCATGCAGTGACTTTAATGACAGACTCGTGCACCTGAAGGTCACAGGCATGCAATAAAATGTTCCTCCAGCTGTTTCTTTTAAATACTGCTCACTTTTCCAGTCTTATGTTGCACTCCTCAAACTCTGAGACATGTTACTGCCATCTGATTCAAAATGAGCTCTTATTTTACACAAAATAGACGAATGTCTCAGTTTAAAAATGTCAATGTTTTCTATATTGGATTGTGACTAAAATATATGTTTGAGACTTGCAGATCGTTGATTCTGTTCTCATTTACACCGCATCATGACTCTGGTTTGCCGTGTTCGTGATACACAGAGCACATGTGAACATGAGAGCGTGCACTCTTTACTCAGAGGGATGGGCACACAGTCACATATGCACAGCTACAACTTGGCTGCAAAGCAAAGGAACACTGAAACATTCATTTTTAAAGGCAGTCTGTGCTTCTTGCTCTTTTCCCCCCATTTCCTCTCCCAGTCTTCCACTCACTTTGTTGCCCCCCACCCCCATCCATTCATTTGTGTCTCCCAAATAGCATCACTGTCAACCACGTATCCCATCCTGACACGTTTCTCTTCCACCAAGCTGTGGGGCAATACTCGCTGACTCTGCCCTAAGCCACACAATACCAGGGGTGGGCCCAGCAAAAGCACCGCTACCCTGCCTGTAAAGAACCTGATTCTATTAGTGTTAACAAAGCGCCATAGCATGGCAGCAGCTATTCTTTTGGAAGCACAGTTAAATGGTGTAAGTAGAAGTGCATAGACAGAGAAGCAGGGGAGAGAATAATAGCCACAGTTTGACCTCTGTTCCTGTCTCAATTGTTGAGCAGACACTGCCTTTATATTGCATTATACTGCAGAGGAGCAGGGCCAGTGCATCAGCGAATATTCCGAGTTTCTGAAGTGAATTAGGTTGTCCCAAAAGTGCACGCACGGTTTTGCTTCGCTTGTCATGTTCTCCCCACTCTGCCTATTTTCTGAAATCAGATTTGTGTGGGCTCTTTTGTGAGTCAAGGTTGGCCCACAAAGAATAGTCTGGGTAATAAAGTCTTGGCTGAGCTGAATGTAATGTGGGATCACATGAAAACAGAAGATTAACAATAGTCACAAAATTAAGACATGATGCATTTAAAACTATTGCACATTTTGTTGGCCATTTATTAGCAGTGAGGTCATGTCTGAAGCCCCCAAAGAGTCGTTTCAGATTTACACCATCTGAACTGTTTGCCAGCTTTAGTTTCTCAAAGATTAGAGGTAGGAGCCTGCTTTATAGAGAATCGATGGGCCCATCCCGCTGTCACTGGAGAAGAAACCCAAGGCTGGTAAACTAAGCTAGAGAAGGCTGGGTGCTTGGCAAAAGCTCTGACTGCACAACAGGTTTTTTTTGGAGGTTTATTGCCCCCCAAACAACATTTCTGTTGTTTTAAAAACACATTTGGGTCAGTTTTGTTGGACTTAGTGTGACCTTATGGCAACAATAGTAACTTATTGGTATTCCTATCAGGGTGTCTGTAGCTCAGGACGCTGAGGAGCTCATCTATCAATTGGAAGGTTGATGGTGAGATTCCTGGATGCTCCAGTGTGCATGCCAAAGTATCCTTGGGAAAGATGCTGAACCCCAAGTTGCCCCAAGTCTCCGACGCATCCAATGCGATGGTTTGATGATACTGGCCTGCAGACATACTCATCAAAAGTCTTACTCAGTGGCTGTCCCTTCCTTTGGGTTTCCACAAAGACGTCAGCAAGCATGGCAGCTTCAGCGGCTGTTTTAGGATTAGAACATTCCTAACTATTGTTCCTTAATTACTTCACTGCACTCTTTCACTTTTAGGCTGAATCCATTTCCCCACACAACTCCTTTACCCTCCCAGAAAGCTCCCCGAGGTTCTAATCAGGATAAATATGAAGGAAACTGAAAATGAAAGTTGATAAACATTCATATGAACTGAGGCACATTGGGGCCTTAACATTATAGGTAGACGAATGAGGCAGAAGAACCAGTCTGAATGTGATCATGTCCAGGCAGCTGCAATTCTCCCAAAGGTAACAAGGAAATGCTCAATACCATCTTCAGTTTATGTTTGTAATATTGGCTCAGAAGAGTTACTGACCTGACTCTGAAGTTAACTTCTGGTGGGATGTAGCTGGACCTGTGACGGTGATCTCCGTCATCAGGAGCTTCCAGTGGGTCTGGGTCGGTCGACGTGCAAGTCTGCATTTCAGTGTTGCTGCTACATGCTGTCCCATGAAGGTTTGCAAGCTCCCAGCCAGTTCCTTCAGTTTTATCTCTTTGATATCTTCTCCCTCATCATCAGCCATATTAGAAGCTCAGGTCTCCACATGCTTTTCACTAGCTGTGTGATCCTCACCTATTCTAGTCTCATATCTCCACAGTGCAAGTCTCAGAAGAAGTACAGGAAGGGAGTCAAAGTTAGAAAGAAAAAACTGGTTTGTTGAAAAAGGCCTGTGTCCTGAGGTGACTGATCCCACCGCTGCTACCATACCTGAGGAACTGAGCTGGTTAAGCGTTGGGCTTTAATAATCACAAACAAACCAAACACTGAGCTGAGAGACAGCAGCTGGCTCATCAGCACAATTTAGACACGTGGGGAGAACAAACTCTGACACACTATCTAATATCAAAAAGCACAACAAAGAGTTAGTTTAATAGTTTAAATAACAGAAACCCCCCCCCGCCCCCTCCATGTGGCAACACTTGGTATGTCCCAATCAACATGTTCCAAAACACCTGTATTTAATTGGCTACTTTTCACAGCAGCTGTTTGGTACCAGCAGATCTCTGCCGCTGAACAGACCACCATCACTGGTAAAACAAGCAAAAAAGAAGTCAATTAAGATTTGTTGTAAATATGTAAGCACACCAATGATAACTAAATGTCCTTCAGCAATACCAAATAAATGAGTGTGATGTAGGTGGTTAAATATGTGTTTGTGTATGTGCACCAAATATGCATGCTCTGGGTTTACTGCATTTATTGTTGTGTGGCTTCAGCCAGCACGTGTGGCCTTCACTGTTGATGTTGCATTTCTCACTGTTGTTACAGGAAAGACGAGGAGCGGAAAGGAGAACAGGCTTCGGTGCAGCAGTCAGTTCCCTATACCAAGAAGAGATGATCAGGTATCTGCATATCTCAGAAATGAAATCTACTGACATCCTAACACAAGCTTGAACAGACTCATCTTTTTCCTCCAATTGTGAATCGCCGCTTATTTAATGCTCAGGTCGGTCTAAGTCTGGCATTGTTGATGCAGTATTTGATTATATTCAACAGACCATAACTGCAGTTCAGGCCCAGAGACGTCATCCAGTTCTGATTTATGTTAATGAAACACATTCTCCATTTACTCTTGCCTGGCAGACCTGCTCAAGCTTAAAAAGCTCATCCTCATTTCAATGAAAAAGAGCTCTATTGGAGATGAAAATGAGATGTGTGATTCCTGCAGGTTTTCATCATAAATGGCTGCATGTGATTAGTATGCACGGTCTTGGGAAGAGGCGGGCTCCCCTTTTTAATTATGGATTTATTTTTTTCATTTTTTTGCGTCGGGGTGGGGGTGATGAAGACGACCTGGGTACAGCAGAGCGAGGAGGGTGAAGCAGGGTTCCCAGAACAGCGCTCCTCTTGGTGATATCCAATAGCAACGATGCCTCCCGTGGGAACCAGGAAGGCAAAAATCTGCACACTTGTGCACGCCTAAACATACAGTCTTCACTATACGTTGCTGCAGGTTTTCATCCAGGTCCTTGCACAACCTGCCAGAACTGTCACACTCACTGCTCTGCTGCATTTCAATTTCCTTGTGCTCACACAGAAACACGCGGATCCTCTCCATACTAAACAGCTAAGCACCTGTTAACCAGACAGTTAATTGCATTGCTCGCTGCTCATCTCGACTTTGGAGCGCGTGTGTGTTTGTAGACGTGTGTGGAGCGTGCATCGACAAAAGCAGGATTGATTAGCGATATCCCTGGACTACTGAGCTGATCACTGTGTGATTGAGGAGCCTTTGAATGCTACACTTGTAATTCTCTCCCCCACCCTGAAAAAGGATTGGGATAAACAATGGAGGCTTTGTTGTCCGAACGCTCTGCTGGAAGCCGAAGCTGAGTTATTCGAGTTTCTCATACTTCCGTGGAACTCGGCCTCGTCGACGGGATCGACCAGGGCCCTGCAGGGAATGTGGTGACAGATTGTGTAGGTGTATGTGTGTGTTTGTTTGATGAATGGTGTGGCCATGGTGTTGATCAGTGAAGCTCAGGCCAGGTAGATGAGTGTTCTCCACCACTGTGACCAGTTTAGCCTGATGGATGAAGGACATATCTGCCAGTACACCAGACTGGACACACACATGTGAGCACGTAACACTCTTACACACAAACACAAAACCATTGGTACCCCAGTGATGACAGAGTAGCCTGTGACCTTCCCAGCATGCTTTGCGGCGCTGTTGATGTCATGTCGTTTATAGGACCCACATTAATCATTAGTGTGTGTGTGTGTGTGTGTGTGTTTTCAGTGTTAATGGAAAGGATCAAAACGAAAAATTGTGTGCTTTCCTTCCTTCGTGAGCTTTTTTATTTACATTTTTAATAACCCCAATCTAACCCTTTAGCGATCTGCATGCGCACATGCAGGGTTCGCTTGTGCTTTATATATGTCAAGCAAGCCCCGTCGACCATCGACGAAAGACTGATGAGTCGCCCTATTGATTAGTTGCCGGGGGAGACGGATGGTGGCCACACATCAGGGACATTTGGGGTCAGCGTGGCCATCAGACAAGGAAGTAGGTGGAGCCCAGCTTGGTGTCTCATGAATAAACATAGCAGTGGTAATCAGGGCTATGCAAATGAATGTGCTCATACATAACCTGTCTGTGATAAAAGTGTAATGAGTTATTCATAATTCACCAAAGGCTGATGAGAAGAGGGAGGTGATGGGAGGCAAGGGCACGAGAAAGGGAGGAAGAAAAGGAAGTGCAGAGGAGCATTAAAGAGCAAACTGCAGATACAACTTCCTTTGTGTTTTGCTGTGTCGGAGTGGGAACGAACTCGAAGCGTAGATTGTGTTGATGGCAAGTGAGATTTATCTCCCTGATGTTTGCTGTGCAGGATCTTTAGTGTGTGCTGGATCTCTGGTATCAAGATTGTGATACTGTGGCTGTTTTCATACATTAACTGCAGCCTGGAATTTTAGGACGCCACAGAGGAGAGCACACATGTCAGAATCAGTCTGATTGGATGCTAAACGGTCTTTAGCTGCCCGATTTCATGGTAAAACGTGCGAAACCTGTCCGATAGTGAGGATGCTCAAAGAGAGGAGCTTTGTTTGCTAGGGTTGTCCTGTTTCCTGTGTGGTCGGTCCAGGCAGCTGCCTCGTTCTTTAAAACACTGAGCTCGTCATCTCCTCTGTGCCAAATGTGACAACTTTGAACGTAAAAATTGTTTCTGACACTCAAGTTGCTTTTGTGCTTGAATTCAACCAAATCTGCTTCACATTTCTAACAGAAGACTGCTTTGGTTGTATAAGACGATACCTGACTGGGTCTAACTCGGAGGCAGCTGTAGCTCAGGAGGTACAGCAGGTGAAATGTCCCAAAATGCCGTGTGTGTGCGCGCTCTGGGACTTTTGAGGCCCAGTGCAGCAGAGCACGCTGGCGTCGGAAACAGGAAGTGGGGGATTTGCCTTGGGGATGACTGACTGTGTGGGAGCGGTAAAGCGGCAGGTTTGCAGGGTTTCCTGTCGAACAATAGAGCACTAAATTGAATTAATCTGAATGGCCGGCATGGGCAGAGGAAAGGGAAGGCGTAAAGCTCTAAATGAGATTTTGCCCCTTCTCTCCCCCTCACCCAACGTCCCTCCTCCACCACTGCACCCTCTTCTCTCCCAGCATGCACTCCTGTCCCCAATGCCAAGAGGTGATTAGAGACACAGAGAGATAATTAGAGGTGGGATGGCTCTGTGTGCATGTGTCATACGCCGGTGCTCCCGAGGGATCTGGGACGCGTGGCTGCTGCTTTTCTATGAGAGATGTTATCTGTTACGTCTGTGGTTGCTTCACTATGCTAGCTGCTACCATTACCACTAATGTGACAACGTGTTGCTTGTGTGGTGTACCTGCACTTTCCATTTTGAAGGACCGCATGATGAGCTACACAATCTGCTAATAAAAAGCTTTTTGCCCATGGACATAGTTTCAGTTCAATCTTCCCAAAAAATGAATGGATTTTGGTTTGTGGTGCTAAAGGGCAACATTTGTTTCCAGAAACCTGCCGAAATCTCAGTTAAAGTAAAACCATATTAATAATTATAAATATTATGGTAACTGATAGCTGTTCATTTCCCCCCCCCATGTTCTCAGGGAAGAGGATAAGAACATCTTTGACTACTGCAGAGACAATAACATCGAATACATCACCAACGCCATCACCTCCCAGAACGTGGACGTCAATATACGGGATGAAGAGGTATCTGCAAAGCTCAGTCACACTCCACTGGTTGCATGATTGACTTGACAAAGTGTTACTTGACAGAACTGTAGTTTTCATACATAATGCAGGAGGACAGGCCTATAGTAGCAAATTAAAATCAGAGTCAGGAAGAACTTCATTGTATGGCTGACGTGTCTGTTGAATCTGCAACAGCTGCATGGCTCTGACCCCTTGTGTGGGAGGGGAAGGTAAAAGCGATCAGACCCGTATCATGAAAAATACAGGTCACCGGGGGAACAGCTCATGCAGCTCACGCAGCCGTCGTTACATAATGGTTTCAGTGATCTGTGGCCACACGCGGGAATCGCTGCTCTGACTGAAATGCGTAAATTGTATGAGCGGCTATTAGCATCAGGAGGTGTTTTCTGGATTGACCCTGAACTCCATTCATCTGTCCTTGATTGGTTAGCATCCAGGCCAAATGGCTCACTCCCAGCCTCTTTCATCACAGCCGCTATGCAGATAAACAGGCAGTCGGCTGGTGAGTTCACAGTCAAAGGCCAGATGGCTGAAGGACCTCAGTGAGAATGCTTTGTGTCCCCAGCCATTGTTGGCCTCTTAGCTGTAATTCAGCTTGCTGGACAGGAGAGGGCAGTAGTGAAGTTTTCTATTGGCGAGCAGCGATCATTTGCATCTGTGGCTCAGAGACAGAAAGGCGGTCTTCCCAGCACTCACTGTTTGGGGCAGTGATCAAATACCCACCTGTGTTACACATTTCTAGTAGCAACCAACAAACAAAAGCTCTGCCTTAGAGCTCAGACTCTAAGGCAGAGAAATTTAAAAATGCATTAGAATGTGTGAGGCGAGCTCATCCTGTCAGCTGTTGGGACATGAATGTTCTCCCTTTCTGATAAAATTCAGTGAAAATTTATTACTAGATAGAAAAATGCCCCCCTAGTTTTTATTTATGTAACGCGTTCAGATCATAGTTGAACCAAACCAACTGACAACTATTTACGGTTTGGATGAATAAATGGCGATTACCCCAACAGATCACATGTGGTGTTTGTGCTTCAGTTCTGATCCAGAATATCTGTAGATGTAGAGCGGACTGCATTAAGAATGGCTTTGAATATAATAAAAAAGCTCCATATTTAAAAGCTGCATCTGTGAACGTATTATAGTCGTGTTTATATAAAATAGGAAGTTTTTTTTTTTTTTCATCCAGCAGTATTTATCTAAATTACAGTTGAGTCTGAGTCAGCATGTCGGGAATTGGAGAACTTTTTATGTGGCAACGGGGAGCTGAGAATGTAATTTATAGTTAGATTTTCACCACATTAAGAGGTAGTGTTACATTTGGAGATACTTGTAGTGTGAGCATGCTTCAGAGCATGTTTGAGTGGACAAAAGCTCTACTCTGCTCTCAACAAATAACCAGCGTACAGCATATTTGTCTTCTAGGAAACACTAAAGGCTCCTTCACAATCTCTGCAGCTGAATCTCAATATCTTGTGTAGCTCTGTGTTAACTGCTGGGACGGTGGGGTAAATGTTTTGGATACTGTGGTTTGTGTACTCAAATATGCAATAGGTGTTTATTGGGACTAAGAGGATAAAAGAACCTTTTAACCTTTTGTTCCTTTGCTAATGTCTTTTATTTTTTGCAGAGGTGCACTTACAGTCTCCACACTGGTCAGGAATTTAACCCACTTTGACCTATCAGAGCAGAGCGCCAGCACAAAAGCGGGTTACCTTCTTCAATAGTAATATATTAGCCATGTTCAAAGGTATCGCTTTGAGGTTTCTGGGGAAAAAGTAATGAAATTTAAAATTTAATTGTGTTTTGTTTTTTTGTTGATGGTAATTTTGACTTTTGGCCACAATTTAACTCAAATATTCATATTGTGATTATGACAGAACTTAAATATCCATAAATATCCAGTGCTGCCATGATGATCTGCACAAATACTCCTATGGAGTTGCAGAGTTTGTGTGATGTCCCACTGGAACCTGCACACTTTGGTCTTCAGTGAAAATGTGGGCAACAGTCAGCAGAAGCACACCTGAGAGCGGGAGAGAGAGGCCAACTTATTGGTATTCCAGCCCAGCTTACAAGTATCCATTTTAACATGCAGCCATGGTGATCAATATAATTTAAGCAACAGAATTGGACTTGGAGAGTTAGCTTTACCTAATTGGCCTCACTGAAAAATGAGGTTGTGTGGTTTTATTAGAGCAGGATCTTGGACCTAAGGAGAGGATGGTGCATGAGTGTGAGAAAGGGAGGGAGAGAAGGGAGGCTACTCATGTTTTGTGCACAGCGTCGCATCAATCAACCTTTGCAGCATTCTGCAATTTGCCTTGAAGTCTTTGGACTTTGCTTCAGCTGCGTAAAAGTTTGTGCATATAAGTGTTTGTATGAGGCCAGAGTCCACATGTCTCATCACTTTATACTCGGCTCATTATGGACCGGTCCAAAGGCTCTGATTTCTGAATGGGCATTCATAACCTTTTGTAAAGCTCGATTGGCTTTTTTTTTTTTTTTTTTTTTTTTTTGAGGTAGAGAAGGAGGAGAGGTGACGAGGTGTCTTTGTATCAAGCCTGCTTGATTTGGTCTGACCAGACACGACACTGAGAGCGTCACGCTAGTTTAAACACATCTTGGCTTTGGAAGTTTGGTCATCCCTGCATGGCTTTGATGTTATCGTACACCAATTATTTCTTATTTTTGCAGGGCCGGGCTCTCCTGCACTGGGCCTGTGACAGAGGCCACAAGGAGATGGTGTCTTTATTACTACAGCACAAAGCAGAAATCAACATTCAGGCGAGTAACACTCTTCCTTTATGTATTCTAAAGAAAGTGTCTTGATAGTAAAAATCTCCTTCAAAGTCAAATGCTGCCTAAACATCACCACAGTTACTATGTGATGTGAGAATTCTACTTCACGCTCAAGTTCTGAATCTTTGTGATCATTTAATATTAGACTAGTCTTCATGCCATCATCATCATCATCATCATCACAGGAGTCATTTTAACATTAAAGAAATGAAACCTGAGTTATTGACAATAATAAAGCTTGGTTAGCAAACGCACTGCGGGAGGTTTATTAAACAGCTCTGCAGAAACTGCAGGATGACCTCAGATCTAATGCATTTCTATGTTGACTTGTACACAACATGTGGTCATAATGTAGAGAATTTGACATTGTGTGGGATGAGGGCATGGCTACTCGTTTGTACATGGACAAGTAAACTAAAAGAAAATGGTGACATCTCCTGCATCCCCACTCCCCTCTTTCTTTTTCTCTCCATCCTTTTCAGAAGGTCACCTTTAATTCACTTTGTGCCACAGACAAATCCCTCAGGGTTTTAGCAGACTGAGTTAGCTGGTAGCTAGCCTAGTGTTTAGGCTCCCTGAGGTTTAGTAGCATCCAGGAGGCTTTAGCTTTGGTAAGCTGGCTCAGCTGCACATCGGAGAAATTACTCCTGTTCCCCTGCACGGCGGCATGACACAGTGCAGTGCAACTGAGGTTTTAACTGTAAGGACGAATCAATTGGAAGTAATCAGGCAAATTGTTTTACGTTGCACAACCCACATAATCAGGACATTTCACAAATGACTTTCTCTTTTGTGGTCATGCGTGGCTCTTTTGTTTCGAATGCTCGCAGGGAGGTGGTAGATTTGTGTCAAATGGCTCATAAAAGACTTAACAGCAGGATAACTGCAAAACACTTCACTGATGATTTACTGCATATCAGGATAATGACAGCAGAAGAGGATTGATGTATAGATGGAAGCTTGTTTTTTATAAATAAAACAGTCATGTATCCATCTTTAAAATAATACATCTAAGTGAGAAGACGCTTCAGCAGTCAAACTGGGGAAACCTCAATCTCTGCCCAGGTCGTCCTAATGGATCGGCTAAATTTGGGCACGCTGAATTTATTTCATGTTTTATTTGTTTCCTTCTTCCTCCTGAATCAAACGGAATGAAGATGGCGTTAGTGAATGACTCAAAGTGATCACATTCAGTCTTTAAAATCTACTTTGTGGAAAGATGGGTATAGAAACAAACACATATTTCAGAGGCAGGATGTTGTATCTCGGCACAATCGCAAACTCGCCTGAATTCATGTATTCAGGCCACCGGGAATGTTCCACCTGCTCGCCTCTCAGGTACTGCAGCACGTCTGTGCAGGAGGCTGAATATTAAGAAACTGGACCTCAGTGTCAGAGCTGCTGGAAGCAAATTTATGAGGTGACAAAGAGGTGGCTCAGAGAAAATATAGTCGGCTAAATCATGCCACTGTGTTGCAATGCCAAATTATCTCACTTTGTGAAGCTTACAGAATAATATGCCTCCCATTAGAACATGCTGGAACATCCTTTTGTTAGTTGGTCGTGGGCTTTACTCAGGAGGGGAGAAAGTAAGGGAATGATTTTTGTTGCACTGAGGTAATATGGAAAACGTAACAAGTAGTTTTAATGGTTCATTTTTGCTTTGTTTTGGGTGTTTTTAATACAAAAGAAATGTGAGAGGTTGTTCACGAGGGGCAACGGAGGCATGTTTGGGTTGTTTGTAGCCTATTAGTGCGCCCAGTAATCTTTCTCGACCTCTACCAACTGCCGAGCAACCAGTAAATAAAGATCAAACATGATTTATGCTTAATTTGTTGATTAAAAAAGGGGAGGGGGGCTTGGAGTTAAAAACAAAAGTATTATCATTTGCTTGGCAGAAGAGGGGAAATCGTTTGAAATTAATCAACTGATTGTTTTAGTGAATTGTTCCCAAACCCTGGTAACCTGCATTAAGGGCTCGTTTGATAGTTAATCCAGGATCAAGGCAGGGAGGGACCACAATAGGTAGCTGTCTGTGTTTGAATACACAGATCTGCCACCTGCTAACTGTAGATCAGGTTATGGTGCAGTAAAACCCGCTGCTCCTCCTCCACAGCATCCCTCGACTAATACACCCAGAGCAAGTGGAGCAAGCGAGACCAACTGGTGGCAAAACAAATGCATTTTAATAGGAGAAATTAAGACTTTAATATAAATACTAAGGTGGTAAATAAGTATTTAGCAAATTGCAGTTTAGGACTTTCATTACATCCCAACAGTGGGATAAATTGATCTAAACAGGAGAAAATTCATTGTAAATTTGTTTAACCTCCGAAGTCTTTCATGGCAGCATTTTTAATTTCTCTTTGCATTTGGGCTGAGTGGGACCTGATGAATGTAAAAACAACCACGAAGAATCAGAGTAAATCTGTGCGTTTGATTTTTGTTTCTGAGGAAAAAGATCCACACATGAGGACATTCGCTTTAAATTTCGATAGAACAGTGGCAGCATGATGTCCTAAGTGGGTATCAGGCCCAAAATTTAGTATTTTGTTCTAGACAACCCAAAATGTGAGGTCCACATATGTGGACGCAGGTCCTTGGAGGTTAAATATAATTAGTATTACAAATACCTGAATTATGCTTTGATAAAAACTGGAATCAATCATTTTTTGTCAATTAAAGAACATATTACCAATCTGGAAAGCTAGCGGCGAGTCTGCTGACTTAACCCTTTGTGGATTAGTTGTTCAGAGACGTCCTGCCCGGTGCATTGGTCTCTAAATGTAAAATAAATAAAAAGCAAACTGTAGCCATGAGGTCTGGGATTGCAGTTCCCTCTTTTGGTCAACCAAAGTCTGCTCAAAGAACACGTGAATACCAGAAAGTCTCCATAGTCAACAATCTTGTCCCTTACTAAAATATTTTATTTCATTTGCAGATTTGATTATATGCCAACTGATTTGACTTTCTTACTCCATGGGGAGAAAGGGAAAAATGGTCCTACGTGATCTTGGTTCTAAAATTGATACTTGCCAGTTGTAGGTGTTAAAATAGTCTTTTGATGAAATTCATAACACACTTTGCTAAATAAAAGAGAATAAAAGTACTTCTACAGCTGCTGCGTATGAATACACGTTTAAACACAAACGCACAAGCTTTGTCAAAAGAAATCATTCTGAGCACAGGCTGGTTTAACATTTCAGTCAGCCGACTGGTTTGTATTTTAAAAGGTTCAACAGAAATCATCAGTAACCGTTCACTGTTTTACCACAACACTGTTCTCTCAATAATATTACCTCATTGATTCAGTTTGGTTCCTTCAGTTTTAATCTGGAAAAAATAAATCAAAGCAAGACAAACAAGTTTCAGATATTCAGTTACATTGTTCCCAATCAAGACTTTGGTAATTCTTCTTTTTGTTCACTTTGAAGTTTGGGAATTTGTCCCACACGGCCCCACGTGTGGTCATTCGCTGTCCAGATGCTGTAATCTCAAACCCACGGCTAAGCCTCATCGCCCACACAGACAACTTTTGTTTTTTTAGGTGGAAATCCCAAACACTTTAATCTTCCCAGCAACCCTTTGGGTTGCTACGGAAACACATTTATAAAAGGTGTACTCAGTCGTGGAGGAGGAGTTAAGAAGGTACGGCTTAGGTCCAGACTAGCAGGAATGGTCGGGGTAGACTTTCACAATGTCGGCCTTAGACTGGGATTACTAAGAGCGTAGGTGACACAGGGAGGATTAGTTTAACAAAGAGGACAGACAGGTGACATGCAGGTGAACCCAACGGGCCCTCAATGCGCAACAGGAAGTGAGCATTAAGTTTAGGTGATGGGAGGAAAAATGCAGCCAAAGTTTTAAGCACCATGACTGCATCTCGCATTCTTTCACTTGCTTTTTGCCTGTCCCTCTGCCTCTCTTTTCCCCTCGCCTCATCACTCTCCCCTCCCACCCAGCCAATGCCACCATCCCCTTCACTCCATCCCTCTCTGCCTCCGCCTCTACTTTATATTAAAACAACATGATCCATGAGGCAGCGAGGGCGACTCGCAGCACCGCTAATTCTAATTAAACCAGCGTGGTAGCGTGGCCACGGCAGGGCCCAAGCACTCCCAGTCTATCAGTCTATCGGATAGAAATTCATAACTTAATTGAGGTCAGAGCCTTGAGCCAGCAGAACAAAAGTCTTCAGCCAGGACCAGCGAGATCAATAGTAATAAATATCTGACTGGGTGGCCTACAATTGGTGGCTGGAGTGCACACAAGTCGCATGCACGCAGCCTGCACGTGGGACCTGCAGATGTCTCGTGTGAGAGAAGTTTGGCCTTTGAGACGTTTTATTTTATTTACCTTTTATCTAACTTTTTTTATATTCCAAGAACTGGGCAGAGCATGCCGCTCGTGTAAAACTGGAAAGGGCACACTGTGGCTTCAAGTCTGTATAGCTGATTTGTAATGACATGGTCTCTCCAAGGATGCATTGATTTGATATTGTAGTGAGTGGAGTGGGTGGACTTAAACTGAGGTGGATGTTGATTTATTTATTGAGGCCAAACGGTGAATTTGTCTCCATGGGACACCTCGACTTTGCTGAATGTCTGGGCCACAGGCCACACTACACTGCTCATCTCCTGTCAGTTCATAAATGCCCCAACTGGAAAAAACCAAATGTGTAGTTATGTCATGCATCTTTGTTAAGCCAGTGTAATCTTAACTAATCCACACACCCAGCTTTAATAAGCCTGTCTTAACAGACAGGTGAAGGGCCCTGATGCAGATGATATTCGGGTCGTAATGTAGACGTGCTTCTGCAAATACACAAGGGTCCATTAGCCTGTAGCCAAATATTCACTCATGCTTCGGAGATCCTCAGTTATGACAGTAACCTAAAGCTTTGTCAAAAAAGTGAAAATGATAATGCAACGAAAATGAGTCAGTTATTTATTTATACACACCCACACACAATGCCAAATGTTGGC